AGCAGCCCAGGGAGGTTATGCTCCAACCTGTGACCTCACAAAACATCAGCCTGTGAATCAGGACATGTGAATCAGCTCCATCTAGCAGCTCCAGAAGTCCTCTAAATTCCTACACATAGCACCTCGACTAGAGGCGAGTATAGTCACGTCCCCCTATTTCCTCTTCATTTTTGGTCCAGGATACACCATAAATCAACATGCTGTATATGGTGATATATATATAAAAGAAGTGGAGAAAAAACTCAAGGTTTGGTGCCTGTTACCAAGAAACAAGGTGCTTTAGGAGGAGGCCAGTTCAGGTGCAGGTCCCTGGGCCACCCCACTCAGAGTACTGGCCAGGGGCTATAAGCATTTCCTCAATGCAGAAGGGGACTCCCAGGGGGTGACAGATCCTCCCGGGTGGGTCAGCGACAGTGCTGGGAACCAAGGAGAAGGCGGGCTACCACCACGGTGGGCCCTGCAGAGGCCTCGCAGCACAGACCTTTCTCCCTCAGCACCTTCCGTTTTAAAGGTACACTCACTGAGCGATGGCCCTAGCGCTTCTTCTCAGATTTGCAGTGAGAATGGGGACAGCAGCTACAGAGTAGCCATCTGGGGATGGCCCCTCATTGGAACAGACGGTAACTGCTACACAATCGCCCTCATAAGCAGTGCTGTGTTTGACTTTCAACGGACACTGGCCTGCGCGTTTTCCTGGATTCCAGGAGCACATTACTTGTATTCAGGAGGTAGAAAAATTAAAGTCCTGGACCAAAAATGAAGAGGAAATAGGGGGACATGACTACACTCGCCTCTGGTCGAGGTGCTATGCGTAGGCATTTGGAGGACTTCACGGTGCCACAGGTCCTAATTTAGTTTCCTTAAATTGATATTCTTGCTCAAGCCCGTATCTGTGCTGAGAAAGTGAATTTATGCAGTGATACAAAGCATAAGACTTCATGTCTGGATCTGTCAAGGAGATTTTAATTTTGTTGGCTATTAGCACTGCCGGTCCTGGAGCATCGGCTACATTTCTACCGAATTTGTGGGGAAGACAGGGATCTATTTAGGGACTGCTCCTGAGCCTCTGCAGCATAGAACGGTGCCCCCAGGACATCCCCAACTCCCAGTCTATGGGGAGGCTGGGACCTAGGGCCACGGGGGCTGGCTTCCCTGTGACCCAGTCTGTAGGATGCTGGTTCCCCTGTGCTCCAGGGCTATTGTGGGGCCTGGCTCCTCTGTACAGAGAACCAACCTACACGTGAGCTGATACAGATCCAGCTGGGCCCACATAATCACAAGGTCCTTGTGGTGCAAGAGGGAGGCAGAGTGATGAGAGATGACAAGAAAGTCACTGCCACAGTTCTGGGGTGGGGAGAGCGCAGGGGCTCGCAGCTGCCTGGGCTGGACCATGAATTCTCCCTGCCCCCTCCAGAAGCAGCCCTGCTGATGCTGTGACCCTGGTACAGAGAGGCTGTCCTGGATCCCCAACGCACAGCAGAGGGGATTTCTATGCTCCTAGGTCACCTCTCAGGATACACACCCCAGCCTCCG